TTCATCGAATAACATTCTATATCTTTTCAAAACCGTCTATCATGCAGACGTTTGGAACATCGAACAAGCTGATACGATCTTTGATCGATTCGATCGTAAACATATATGGACCGGTGTTCATAAATCGAGTTCATAAAGCACAAGTTCTGCTATAGCTTGACCTAAGTCGTTCTTCCATGTTCTTAGATGTTCACCAGGACCAGGTGTCACTCACTGTCATTCACTGTTCACTCCTAGAACTGCTTGGCTCTTCGGAACCGTTGGGGGTCACACCACGCACAGCCGGGCGGGGCGTTCAGGCTCGTCACTAGCGCTGGAATCTGGCGAACGCTGCGAGGAAGGGGCAGTGGAGACCGAGAAATCCATGAAATGTTTTACTAGTAGTAACAAAAAGCTATTAGAAACAAGTGCCACGCTAGTAGTAACAGGTGCCACGCTAGTAGTAACAAAAAGCTATTAGAATTAAAATTAAAGTAAATTTAATAGCTTCTTGTTACTACTAGTAAGGCACTTGTTACTACTAGCGTGGCACTTGTTCCTAATAGCAAACATTGTTACTACTAGTAAGGCACCTGTTACTACTAGCGATGCACTTGTTACTACTAGTAAATAAAAATATACATCATGAATCAGGATACATTGAAAAGGGAGGCCACTGAATAGGGACTCAAGTCATTTTCACACCATTGGACCATGCAGGGTAGGATCTCTATGAACAACCTGGTGCTTTTTTCGTGAGATACCCTTGCGTTTTGGAAAAGGCATGCCACTTACACCATGCTTATGCTCTCTCTCCGTCACCACCCTCCTTGCTCCCCGAAGTCACGACGAGCGCGTTCTCGGTCCGACGAAGCCGGAAATGTTGGGCTTGGGGGATAGCTGCTTGGATACAACCCAAAATAGCATGATAGGATCATGATCTATTCCTATACTATAGCATACTGGTTATCTTTGTGTAGATCGAAGCTGCGTAGTATTGGCATCGTTTTGTACGCAAAGAGAACGACCTAGAACGACCTGAAGATACGGACCGGACCTGACGTGCGGCCGGGAACAAGCCCGTTCGGCATTGGTTGGCATTGACCGCCATACAGGGAACAAAGCCACACAGCCACACGGCCCTTTCATTCAGTGGCAACATACATTGAAATTGGGGAAAGGTTCAGCAATCTGATCCTTTGATGTCCTTCTTCCTTCGTCTCCCTTGCTATGGCATCGCAGTTCAACGCAACCCCAAAGGCTGCTGGGAGCTCCGCGCTGGTTGATCTTCTCTTGCACCCCTCCTTTGATCCCTCGAACCTGGACGAACAAAAAGAAACGCTTCACGCAGATGGTGGAAAATGCCGAGTCAATGACGCGCGTCAACGACGCCGCAAACGACATGGAAGTCAACCAGAAAATGGAGGTGAACAAGAAAAGCACGGAAGAGCAACTGGAAAGGTCGCAGAGACGCTTTTTCGTCACAAAAGAAATTGATGAAAAGCCGGATGCGAAATCAACGTGTTTGCGAAGTCCATGTGTGACGTGTGCCTAATGGATGTCTATTAGGTCATTGAACTGGGGAAAATGAGGTGGGCTGGTCACTTAGGGCAATGGCTTTGTGGTTGAAGCGACCCAATGGCGGCACCGTTTTGACTCGGATGGTGATGGATTCTGGTGCACAAGTCCAATGAAATCTGGTAATCTGCACAACATTTTTGAGCATATAACATTGTGTCTGTATAGGATGCAAATCAAAAACAAGGCCAAGGAAATACAACCAACCTCATGTCCTGGGCATCCTCGGCCACCTCAGCACACCGTGTTTGGGGGTATGAGCAGGGTGCCTTGGAGCCTCCTAATCCCTACCTTCCAAGGTTTCGATAGACGTTGGATTCGGACGTCTCTTCAATGTCGATCACCCAACACGTTGGATGAACACCTGTCGACATGCGCTGCGCACGTGGGATGAACACCTTCAACGCCTCACGCGTCAACCCGTCAACGCCGCGCACGTCTGTGCCACCCCACTGAGGCTGACATGTCCCAAACCTGACCATCCTGGGAAAGCGCAGCGGAGTGAACCAAAAGGCCGACCAGGCTAAACTGCTTTTTGAATGGTCAGAAACTGTGTTTTTTTTGATGAGAAACTCAGCTCATGCTTGATGTGTAGATGCGACTAGAGGTTGTCCTGCCGGTGCCGTCCCGCTTGGATGTCGACCCGAAGGAGTCGTCCCGGTTGGACCCAACCAACGCCGGTCGCGCGGCGGCAGTGGTCGACCGTCGAAACGTCCAGAAACGTCTTCAGACCTGAGGGATACTGAGGGTCTTCATGAAGATGCATCCGATGCCAAAGCCTTATGATCATCAAACGCTTTCTGATTTGCAGTTCCGCTCATCCTTTGGTTCAGAGTTGCTCCACTATGAGGTCACCATGATACCTTCCCTCATGCAAATCTGAAGTGTTAACCTGGGGAAATTAAAATACGTTAAGTCAATACTGACAATTGCAAGCGACATGCCAAGTTCACTCAAGTTCACAGTCTTCACAGTCTTCACCTACCAAAAAATATGAAGAGTTCACTCAAGTTCACCAGTGAAGACTTCCCTCAAGCCAATCACCTCAACACTTCTCATTCGCGCCGTGCTCGCGCCTTGGGCGCGTTCTCGAAGACCACCTTTCGCCGGTTCCGTCCGCGGTCGGATCTCAGAAATCTTTCGATGTCCTGAAGTCCTGAAGGTCTCAGAAATATGTGGGACTATACATCAAAGAGATGAAAGAATCCAAGATCCCATGGCACTGTCAAAGACTTAGATCTTAGATTCATTCGATTCTACATCGTACTCGTAGATTGCCACAGATTTGTTCTCTTGGAGTTCGACGACTGTTCTCCTTTCGTTCTCACGACTCGGTGGCTCGAGTGCTCACCCATGACCGGCCGTCCCGAAGTCTTTCGGAAAGGAACCGGCGAGACGTACCGGCGGAGGTCCCCCTACGACTCGATGGAAAACATGGTCATCACGCTAAAAAAGAATGCTCACAAGAAGACACATCTTGCTGGATGGCCAACCATCGTTGCTTTCTCTGGTGGCGTGGTCATCCATGTCATGAGTCATGAAATGTGGGTTTCTGGTGCTTTGGGGATATGCTTTGGAGGGAGGAGAGCAAGGGTTCCGTTCCTTCGCGATTCCATGGGGTGTTCTGTTCGGGCGCCGATTCGGACGCACATGTGATTCGGACCCCATGCCCCACGTGTTCGCTCTAAAAATGGGCGGCCTCCCGACCGACCGGTCCGACAGCTGGGAGATCCCTCCCACTCTCGGCTCCGAAAGCTCGGAGGGCTTCGTGTCGCTCTCAAGTCAACCCTTTGATGCGGTACGCAGGTAACCGCAGGTACGCAGTCACACCCCAAAAACGGATGAAAGATGATGAAAGCGATTCCAATTCAATCATGAGGGAGGGTCACTGTGACCTGTTCCCCTTAGTGTTGCACCCAGCAAGGGCTTGTTTAGTGCAGCAACGCCTGTTCAGTTTGTAACGTCAGTGTTGCACAATAACAACCACCTTGCATCGTCTGCATCCAGTGGGAATGTTTCTTTGGATGTAAACCTTCATGTTTGGAGGGCCCCAATGGGCTTCATACTTCTCCCTGGTTTCTTACACCCTTGACAAGTTTCAAACGCTTTTGGGTTTGAGTGGGTCTCTATGATAGATCTCTCTATGACGCGTCATCCAAAAAGCAAAAACGACAAATCCAGCACGGTCGCAGCGTCCAAGGCCCAGAATCCGCACCTCTCCCGCCTGTCGAGCTCGAAGGCTCGCCGTGAGGCCTAGTGGCATTCGGAGGGAGGGGGGGCGAAAGGTTAAAAGGGGAGAACTGGAAGGTCTTCCCTATTTGGAGATGTTGAATAAAGGCAGGAGTTTCTCCCTCCAAATGGGGGGGTCAAAATTGCATTGAACAGATCCAAAAGCATCCCCAAATCCGGCTCGGGTGAGGCGGATTAAGGGTTTTGTCATGTTTTCTCTCTTTACCTTTGGATACCTTGGGCGACTGTGGAATGCCATCGGGCAAAATCACCCGCCTGGGCCTTTTTAAAGTAACAAATTGGAATGCCGGGCTCCTGTTCATGCGCTACTAGGAGCAAGGACGCTACTAGGGGCACTCCTGGCCTTGCTACTAGTAACAAGAAGCTACTAGTAACAAAGGGCATCGCTACGATCGGAGCAAGAAGCTACTGATTCCGCTTGATTCCCAGATGAGATCAAATGTAGCTGGAGGGCGTATCTTTCGGCAGAGGGTGTACTGTTCTCTCCCAGGTCCGAATGAACATGGAAACACATCAACCCGCTCAACTCCAAACGGTCCGAACGGTGCGAAGGTCGCTCGCCGCCCTGCCGCCTGCATCGCCCACCTCGGACGACCAGGCGGCCGCCTCCTCGGTCTGTGGAGCGATCGATCCGCCCGAGGCGCCCGGGTGCGAGAAAGGTCTGTCGACACCTTGCTACCGGGTCGGTGTTCCAACACAAACATCACCGAACCGGGTTTCTGAAAGGGAAGCGGTGTTCCCAGCGGCCACATCCTCGGTTTGAGAAAAACACTCTCCGCCATGTGGCCCGGGCAAAGAACAGGCCGACAGCTACCCTCTGTGATCTCCAGAAGTATGGGTTCCAATTTGTACAGCCAATATACAACATGTCTTGAAAAAAAGAAGTGATTTAAGTGATAATGTGAATAATGTGTTACATTGTGTTACAAGCCTCTGTAGAATTGTTGCATGGTCGATGTACCTCTTGGGTAAATGACTTCAGAGTCTATGTTAGTCTTTTCGAAGGTCGTTTCGTCGAGGCGAGCAGAATTTGGGGCACACGAGTCAATACCAAAAAAGCATCAAAAAGCGTTGTATCCCTGTATTATCCCTGTATTGGAAAGCGCTTCTATCTTTTTTTTGGGGGTCACAAAAAAAGAAGCCCAAAAACGCGATGAGTTCGGCTCCGAACACTCACACTGTGTTCCTTCTCGTCACAGCGGTTCGTAGGAACGAAGCAGCACTTGGCCAATGGCAATTTCCCGCAAGCTGCTGGGAAAGTGGCCTTCGAATGTCTCAAAGGACTCGCCCAAGATCAGGGTCTCCAGGCGACTGGGCAGCGTGACAGCTCTCAAAGTCTGATTGAAGTTCAAGCCAAATTTCAGGGTCTTCCTGAGATCCGATCGAGTTTCCATTCAAAATCTACACTCCAACAGTCAGATGGCACTCCAAGGGCTTAGGTAGAGGACTTTTCTGAGAGGCCACTTTCATGTTGTTGGGGAGGGTAGAAAATGACTGACAAAAGACCATGAAAGGCACCATTCGCACCATTCCCTCCCCAAATGTTGGGGTTGTAGGCTTCTGGAGGATTCCGTAAGCAAATAATAAAACATCTGGAAGATAAGCACTCGCAGGCTTCAGGTTGCTGGGTAGCGTAACATCTGCCAAGCTCTGATTAAAGGATTCGCCAAAGATCAAAGTTTCAAGGCTCTCGGGGAGCATCGCGTCTGCCAAGGGTTGGTTGAAGGAATCGCCCAAGGTCAAACTGCGGAGATTCTGCGGCAACTCTACACCTTGCAAACTCTGGTTGAACCTGCTGCCGAAGGAGAGAGTTTGTAAGCTGCTTGGTAGCATGACACCCTCCAAGCTCTGATCAAAGAAATCATCAAAGAGCAATTCCTCAAGCTCGACTGGCAGCACGACACCTTCCAAGCTTTGATTAAAAGAAGTTCCAAAAATCAATGCTTTCAGTGAGCTCGGCAGCTCCACATCCACCAAACTCTGGTTGAAATTCCCACCGAACTCCAAAACCTGCAAGCTGCCGGGTAGGATGACTCGCTCCAAACGTTGGTCAAAGCGTTGGCCGAAAAACAACATCTTCAAGTCGCTTGGCCAAACCACATCTTCTAAGCTCTCATTGAAACCATGTAGCAAAGTCAAAGTCTCAAGCTTTGGAGGCAGCGAAGCTGGCAATCTGGCGACTATGCGCCCCAAACACAAATGCTGAAGAGTACTTGGAACATTTTCCAAGCTTTGATTGAAGAAATCGCCAAAACTCAAGGTCTCTAAACTGCTCGGGGGATCACGTCCGTCAAGCTCTGGTTGTAAACCTCACCAAAGCCCAAAGTCCGGAGGTTCCTTGGCAGTGTGACACCAGCCAAACTCTGGTTGTAATTGTCCCCAAAAACCAGGCTCTGTAAGCTGCTTGGTAGCTGAGTTCTTCCTGCCAAGCTCTGGTTGAACATCGCTCCGAAGGTTAAACTCTCCAGGTTGGTGGGGAAGATCACATCTGCTAAGCTCTGGTTGAAATCCCAGCCAAAGGTCAAAGTCTGCAGGCCACTGGGCAGGGTGACGCCGACCAAGCTTTGGTCGAAATAAGCCCCAAAGTTCAAAGTCTGCAAGCTGTTGGGCAGCACGACACTTGCCAAACTCTGGTTAAATTTCACGCCAAAGTTCAAAGTCTGCAAGCTGCTGGGCAGGGTGACTCCTTCTAAGCTCTGATCAAAGCGTCCGCCAAAAGTTAAGATCTTCAAACTGTCTGGGAGTTGAACACCTCTCAAGCTCTGGTCAAATTCGTTGCCGAAGGTTAAAGTCTGCAAGCTTTCTGGCAGATTGACATCCTGCAAGCTTTGGTTGAAGGAAAAGCTGAAGGTTAAATTCTGAAGGCTGGCCGGCAAAGGCACAAGTTTCAGGCTCTGGTTGAAACCACCATTAAAGATCAAAGTCTCCAAGCTGTTGGGCAGCTTGAAGCGATCCAAGTTCTGGTTAAAGCTTTTGCCAAAAGCCAAGGTCTTTAGGCCAGTGGGGAGTCTGATCCCTGTCATCCGTCGGTCGAAATTCCAGCCAAAGGTCAAGCTTTCCAGGCTCTCTGGCAGAGTGACACCCGAGAGGCTGCGGTTGTATTTCTCGCCGAAGGTCAAGGACTTTAAGTTGCTGGGCAAGCGAACACCCTTCAATCCTTGGTTGAAATCGAAGTTGAAGTGCAATGCTTCGATGGCATTGAGGGCATCCAAATCTCTCACTAACCAGGGCGGACCCTGTGTGTTTTGAGGATCATCTGCCCGATCTTCCTCCAAAGCTCGCTTGAAACTCCTGGCTGCCTCACCTGCTCCAATCTGCATGGCCACGTAACTCACCTCCTCATCACAGAGCCTCAGATCAGGAGTCACCAAGTTCATCTATCGCCTTTCCTCCGTCTAATCCGACGTGTGCTGCCATGTCCGGTGTCCGCGGGTGTCTGTTGTGTGGATAGTGGAAACACTGTCACGTGGTGGGTACTGAGTCGAGTAATTATACATATATCACAATATATATATATATACACAGTATAGCATAATGATATATCCAAATGTTGTTTTCTTGTTCATGAATGTTCTCCTATTTCGTTTGGGACCTGTATTTTAAAACTTGATGAGCTTTCGGAATGTCCTCACAGATGTTTGTCACAAGGATGTCCGCTCTACATTGGGCTTCAACATTTCGTTTGTGTTCGAAACTCCAACAGTACAAAGCTCAACCAAAAAGAACACCCTGCACAAACATCTAGACCTGGCCTTACAAATCCAAACCTGTGGGTGTTGGCTCCAAAGATGAGGCACTGGACTATACTGGACCTCCCATTTTTGAGGTCAATCACTCGCCCCCTTGAGCTGGAAGCTCTATACTTGCAGCTGGAAGCTGTGGTCGAAGATCTTGAGACTCATCCAGCACTTGACTGCCCGAGGTCAAGACCAAAGTTCGCCCGGGTTTCATGAGCTTAGCCTGGATCTCTTGCGACAGATCTCTGACCTTGGTGGTGGTGGTGGCGGCGGCGGCGGCAGTACTCGTTGTTGTTTGTGGTAATTTTGCTTCATCTGCACAAATGGGGCTGTTGTCTGACCTGCTGCACTGGTTTGCGGTATGCAGTCTGGTTTCAATGGCCCATGACCTGCAGTGATAGCAAAAACAGGTTGAGACAGTCACGGGCATGTCATGTCCCGATGTCGGTCCTTCAGATCCCTTCAGTTCAAGGCCTCTGGCCAGCCCAGCCCGGGGCAGGGAAGCTGACTGCTGGAAGGAGGGTCAGTGATACATCTTAGCTGGAGTATGAGAAGGGGCACTTGGGGTTGAACCGATCACTTTTGGGGTGCTCAGGATCAAAAGTTTCCGCTGAGCCGAGCCGACCTGCGTCATCGAATCCACAAGACGCCATGGTCTAGGAAGGCTATTGCTCACGACTGGTATCGTTTAGTCACAATTCCTCAAAGGCTGTTTGACAGACAGCTCAAGATGATCGGAAGTCTTGAAAGTAAGAACACTCTTCCAATGAATTCGTCTGCAAATCATAGAATGCAAAAGTTCTGTTGAATGGAGACATCTTCTTAGAAACAAACACGATAACTTAGGAAAATGACATCACCACCGTTGGGACCCTCGGACATAACAAAATCCGCCCGCGCCCAAGGTGCAGTTCGCATAAGCCGCTAGAATGGCCAGATCACTCATTAAGCTTTAGCTTGGGGGGAAGCTCTTTTGCTCTAGAATGCTGGATTTCGAAAGCAGGTCATTGGCGATGTCGGTTACGCTGCCCGAGTGAGTGTGCATTATTGACATCGTGTGTGTGCTTCCCCGGTGGCCTTCTCGAGTGAGAAACGCGAAAGCTATTGATAGTGTGATCTTTGCTGCCCGAATGGAATTGCATCATTGAAAGCGTGCGCGTGCGATGGTCAGTGCTGCTGCTATACTAACCAATACTGGCACCCCACACGGTTCCCTCTGCAGAACTAACGCAGATGTTCATCCTACACTCGGTCTTTCTTACTTGCAACTGACCCTGCGTTCACCTCGTTGTTTCCATGACCATCTTTTCCTCACAGTAAACTTCTTCGGACCATTTGAGCCCTGCATCGTTCTTTCCTGGCTCAGAGAGCACAAGTATCCATGCGGGCGGTCTTCGCGGCGAAGCGGTGTGAACATCATCAGATCCTTTTCGCATCTTTTCGCCACAAATCAGGGACCTGGTTTCATTGTTCTCACTTCTTGTTCATCATGACAGCCAGGCTGCTCCCGCATCATGAGCAACTTGAAGCTGGAATGTGTTGCCATCGAGCCCAGCTCGAATGGTCACTGTCATGGGCGGCGCGCGGTCGTCAGCGGCACTCGGCCCTGCCCTGACCGGGATGACCAGTCGTCCCGCCGGCGCGACGCTGGACTGGGCGAAGGCCACCAAGCTGGTGATCAACCTGAGTGAAAGAATGAAGCTTCGTGTGAAAGAGCATCAGACATGAATAGAGAGCTGGTAATCACATGTAATCACCACATCCTTGAACATCGTGATACATATTATATAGTATGTATATACAAATATACCAGCTTCTTCAAAGTGACCTTTTGAAGGTTCCTGAGTGACCCTTAGGAGGCTCAAGAGACCGAACCAACCAGGTTATCAAGCACGGTCACTTATATATATATATATTACTTGAGAGCCATGAGCGATCCAACCGTGATGATGCCATGTACCACAACTGGGTTCCGCATGGGAGGTCGCGAACGGCTTCGAACGCTTATTCGCTTTCACCGGAAGGAAAACACCGGTCAAACCGGTGAAAGCCTTTTGAAAGCCAGCCAAAAGCCTTCACATGTGCCTACTATAACTAATTAGTCTCCAAAAAGGGCAGTAGCAAATCGCAAAATCAACACTTGTAGTCACCCATTTTATAGATAGAAGTCGAAGTGCAAGTCCTCTGTTGCAACGCCTTTTGGTGTGCAACGAACATCCAAGATATGAATCTGGATGGCCCTATCTACTCTGTGATCAAGTGGGACACCTTTTGCAAAACAAACACAACACTTCGAGGCATCCAGCCGCAAACAAGCCGTGCACACAAACCACACCCCCGGAGCTGGCTTGGGGAGGCGAAGGGTGAGGCCACGGTGGATGGTTTAACCAAGGCCTTTCTCCAAAAGAGTGAGAATCCTTTATTGACTGTTACAGGCAATAGGATACCTCAAACTGGGATAGTGGCAAAACGACTATGCTCCCTCTTCCTCAGTCGACGAGCGACTGAGAATTAGCCAAAAACAAACGAACCCGAAAGGTCTAGCAGGTCTCTCCTACCATTGGAATTTGTTCTTAGCGTTTTCCAGCTCATCAACCGATTTTCTGCACCACAAAGCGAACTTCCCTGGTTCACAACGGCCATGCTGCTCATCATCGGAGTGATCCGGCGAGCTCGCCCCACGCGTGCGCAGGGTGGTCGCGCCGCAGCCCATGGCGCAGGAGCCAGGAAGAGGTTTGTGGGATGTTTTAGATCAATCGCTTCTAGGGTGGAGGCCATCGCTTCTAGGGCGGAGGCCATCGCTATTAGGTTGGTAGCTAGTCCAACAATGTTCTTGTCACTGTCACTGCACTCCCCGTGGGAAACCCAAACATCTGTGGGGGTCAAGCTTGTATCGTCGGCATAACCTAGTTACCTGGTTAAGCTGCAATAGGAATTCTGGTGTATGTTTTTGCAGTGTTTAGTCTCAGTACACCTCACAGGCAGTATCTTCAGATCAGGAACGTAGTGATCAGGTTTCGCGTTCGTCGCCGATCAAGGCAGATTGCACATACTCTGGGCCCCCCCCATTGGTCTCAGCCTTGGCAGCCATGGTCTCTATTCCACTTGCACTCGGAAAAACCCAAAATCGCGTGCCTTGACACTGGATGTAACTTTGGATCTGAACTGGAGCGTCTTGAACCGTTTGAACATTCCTGACACCGCGATGCCTTTTGGCACTTGTCCACTGAGGCCTTTTGGTGACTTGTCTTTTTGGGCTTGGAGCTGGGCCACATCGCACGGGCCACAAATGCTTGTCTGGGCGATCTGCCCCTTTCTCGTGCGTTTCGCAATAAAGAACAAAACGTCTATATACTTGTTCAATCATGTATATAGCTTCGCAGTGCTCTTGAGCAGAAACTATGGAGAGATTCCAGCGGCCAACGATGTCACTTGTCTCTGTCATAAAACGCAAAATCACCTGCGATGCCTCAAGCAAAGTCTGACACTTTGCTTGGTGAATTCTGCAAGGCAAATTCACAAAAAAAAGGATCTTCACAGTTGATTCAACTGGAACCAAGTGCAAACATCCATGGCCTGTCCAAGTGTCATGGTATCAAATGGTAGGGCCTAGAAACACACAAACAGTTCCAGGAAACCAACACCTAAGCATGTTTGGACATTTGTGGCTAATGCCCAGTGCCATCTTGACATAGCTTCTCGCAACTGGCCATAGAATGTTGAAATCGGATAGGTTTTCCGTTCGTAGCCTCCTATCGGATCCGTTCGTAGTCAGGCCAGCAGCCCCGACTACGAAGCGATTCGAACGGTGCAAAGTCTCGCCCCCACCGCTACCGCTCGCAGTGACTGCGCCATGTGGCCGGTTCCAGGGGCGAAGACGGTGGAGTTCCTGGCGAATGGGAGCCCCCCCGCTGCCCGATGGGTTTTTGATGGACAATCTGGTCTGTGATATAGCCATATCCTAAGAAAATTAGATCACATCGTTGTCAGTGATCTGAAGTCAAATCACAATGGGAGTGGAAAGCTAGCTTTTGTGTGGTTGAATCGACAACACGTGACTCAGTCAGTAAGGCAGTCTTGAAAAACAACACCAAGCCTGTAATATCAGAGCTTCAATCACACGCTGTCAACAATGGTCCACAGCAAGCGCTTGATTCTTCCATGCAGTCTTCACACATTAATATTAACACGATATTCCATGTAAACAACATAATATGTAAATGAATGTAAATGACATTTAAAGACTATGTAAACTCCGAAACTCGGCTTCAACATCAATTTGCCGAAAAGGTCGAGCATCTGACATGTCAGGGATGAAGCCGTTCTCCAGGATTCACTTGTCCAAGCCCAACTCCAGGAACATACTATACAGATCCATGATGTTCCGAACCAAAAAACCGGGAAACCAAGAAAAGCGCTTAGTACAAACCGGTGTTGCTGGCATGGCATAAGACGCCACCGCCCATTCCTCACGGGGTTGGCTTGGCTTGGTGTGAAAAAGCTGAAAGAGGTGCGGGGGGGCGCTGCCGCAGCGCCCAAAGTCACAAGCAAACCAAAGTGCCAAGCCAGCAAAAAGCGACCGAAAGCAACCAGAAGAAGCTATCAAAACCTAGCCAGCGAAATCCAACGAAATCCAGGAGAACCAAGAGCAAGCTATCAAAAGCCAAATCAATCCGCAACCACCCACACAAGCCACACAAGCTACCAAAAGCCACACAAGACACCTAAGGCCAACAGCCCCAGAAGCCGTCAAAAGCTAAAGTCGCTGGAAGCCAAAGCGAAAGAAGCCACGAGCAAGCTGAAGCCAGCAGAAGCCAGCAAAAAGCTGGGCAGCCCAATGCCAAATGACTTTAAAAAGAATGGTCCCAAAAAAGAACACATATATTCATTAATCCCCATGCCCCTGCATGTAAACTTATATAAACTATTTATACGTTCCCCCCCTGCAGAATCCCTGACTCCGCCTGGAGGCGATCGCCAGATCCACCAGAGTCCCAAGCCCAAGACCTGACCGCCGCTGCCGAATGCCGCGTCGGATTCGCTCCGCTCCGGCTCGGTGGCGATGGCGGAAGGCGGAAGGTGATCGCCGTGGGCAGTTCATCGCCGGTCTCATTGCAAAAATCAAAGAACTGTGGATCATCTGAGGGCGGTCCCCATCGTGGGAGTGTTCGTCTCCGTCTTCGGTACGAACATCGTCTGGAATGGATCGTCATGAAACTGCACAATCGGCTGGGCTCACCTTCAGTCTCATCTGTGCCAATGCCACTTAGGGAGACCAGCAAATCTAGCCACACGCCACCGACCCACCGCCACCTTCACCCCAAGGGACTCGAAAAAGCGATGGGAGAGAGGCTTCGTCCATAAACGATATGTACCATCTTGGTCAGTTGTTCCAACCACCTCGGTCCACCGACGGGAATGATCAAACCAAACCGGCTGGCACCCATGGTTCGCTGACCCACATGACGAGTCTAAGGGCCTAGTTCGTTGCCTTTTTGGGGACCTCGAAACGAACACGCAGCTCGTCGACACGACGTCGTTCCGACCCGTCGGGACGTCGGGTCTCACTCGACGGACGCGGACCTGACGCCAAACAGCGGTCCAACGTCCTTCATTGGGAAGAGATGAAATGACGCGTCACTGGGAGGAAACGATATTAAATCGCATGGTGTTTCTTATGATTCAATATGGGTTATATGTTTTACATAGTCAAGTCAAACTGGGCCCAAGGGGGCCAGACTGGTCTATTTGCCAGAAAAAGGGGGGCATCTCTTGCAAGCTACACATCCAATATCGAGCTAAACATCTACCCCACTCATTGAGGGCAGCCCCGACACCACGTCCGAAACGGTGCCCTGTCCACACTGAGACCCCCAGACCGCCAGGGAAACGGCAGCAACTGCTTTGGGATCCACCTCCGTCCGTCCGTGATGAAACCGGGTTGGTGGCAAGACTGCAACGAAAACCCGAAATTAACACTGCACCAGGCGTTGCGCACTCATCAGTCAACCTCCCTGGACCCAGAAAAGCCCTGCCCACACATGTAAAGGATGATATGTTACATGTCTCTTTGATTGATGTTGATTGTATATGTATGCTATCTCCCTCTCCCATGTACCCACCGTTTTGGTGTGTTGTAGGTGACAACTGTAGAACAAGCCCATGAGACCCTGCCTTCGGCCCGTGTCGCGGGAGACGAGGGGTAGGAGACCCAGGGGATCGCAGCGGCAGACAAAACGCCGGCAGCAACAGAGGCAGACCAGTGGGGAGACAGAGGAGGAGACAAATGGGAAGAGACAAGGCAGCAGCAGCAGCAGCAGCAGCAGGAGCAAACAAAACGCTATATATAATCAAACAGGACAGGCAGACAAGCGTCCTTTCCAAAACCCTTATTGAAAGGGACTCGTCAAAGTCATTGCTCCAAACAGTTGTTCAACGGGGTAGTACGCAAGCCCCTAAGGAAGTGAAGTATAAGAATTGTTGAGTGGGTGGGAATAATGCGCCAACCTGGAGCCCTATGAAAAGTATCGAACCATACTTTTCTATTGTTCTGCTATTGCTCCCCTTTAAGAGAGTCTTGCACAGCCTCTTCTGAGAAGGTGCTTGAAGCTTGGAACTCTGATCACCACCACCACCGCCGCCGCCGCCACCACCACGACGACCTGCGCCTGCCTGTCTTACTGCTACTGCTGCTACGACCACTACCACTACCACTACCACCACCACCACCACCACCACCACCACCGCTACTGCTCCTCTTACTAATTCCCAAATAGTTTTGGTGGGTTGACTCTGTTCAGACTCCCTGCGTTGTTTGCTTGGGGGGCTTTACTGGTAAAAATCGAACATTCGGCGTCTTCTCAATCCTCCACGCTGATATTTCTTCATTCGGCCTGTTTTCTTTTAGCCCTCTCTCTAAAGACCAGAGCAGTTGTCGCCTGGGTGACCCCATCCCAGTGGACGCTCTCTCGTCTGCTGACGCGCTCCCGTTCGAGTCGCGAGGCCAGGAGCCCCGTTCGTAGCATCTTGTTCCTAATAGTGATTGAATCCCATGCCAGGATTCACGATGTTTTCAGGTTTCACCCAAAAATATATTGATTCTCATGCCAGGGCTCAAGACTCAAGATGCAAGATTTCAAGAAAACGGTTCAGGATTCAAGATTCAATATTCACGATTTCAGGAAAAGGTTCTTGAAACTCCTGCTTGGCCTTGGATTAAAGAACACTTTCCTGAAATATCCTGTTCTGAACTCTTGAATCTTGAATCCCATTGCAACGCGTTGCAATGGGACTCAGTCACCAATGCGTTTCACTGTGGCACATGTTTCATGTGCATCCCCAGAGGCAAACAAAATCCAGCCCTCAAAACACAACAAATACATACAAATACCATTATGAGCCTCTCAAGAGTGGGTACACGCATGACATGCAAGCCCCCCCGTTCCCTGTCAGTTCCAACGATGCACTTTGGTCGTTAACCACTTGCAAACCTCACACACACAAAACATCCTGACCCTTCTCATGCTGCAAATAGCAGGAACAGGAAAATCATCCTGACCCTTCTCTAGGTTGCTATGTTTTGGCTCAAAGGGTACTCGGTGACACTGGGTGCCACCTTCCACCCCTATCCACCCTTCGCTCGCCTTCGCCCACAGCGCACCTGGAACGGCGTCGCATCCGTTTGCCTTTACTGTGCACCGTTTGGATCCCGCG